CCTCACGTGGCAGCAGAGAGAGAAAGTAAGCTCTCCATGTTTTTTATAAGAACAGTAATCCCCTTTATGACCTAATTATCTTTTAAAGGCTCCACTTCCTAATACCATCACATTCAGGACTAGGATTTCAACATATGAATTTTGGGGAACACCGACATTCGGTCCATACCGTTATGCCCATTGCTACAGGGGTGTTGCTGCTTCTAGGCCTCTTAGCTGACAATGCAAGGAAATATATGTATGTAAATACTTTCTTTGAAGCAAATGGGTATATGTTCGTTCACACTTTTATATTTCTTTTATCATTTCCACATAAATTTTGTGTATGTGTGTTTGTTGGGAGAGAATTGCTCAATATGTGGGCTTGGTTCCCCATCTTGAGCTGAAGCCCCATTGGGCACCAAGTAGATATTTTCTAGTGGGTTCAAATGAATTAACAACTTAAGGCTTTCCTTTTGTTGGGAGATAATTCTCCATGGATCTCTTATGCTTCTCTACAACTTGCAAGAAGAGGCACTATCTTTTCATGGATGTTTGTATAGTGAACATTAGCCTTGAAAGATAGAGATAGTGTATTCTTCCAGAGCCAAGGTCAGATTTATTCAGTATAATCGAGAAACGTGGCAACCTACTGAATGCAAATCATATATCTCATAAGGGGTTAATATCCAAAATATGTAAATAACTCACACAACTCAATAGCAAAAAACCAAACAGTCCAATTAAAACATGGGCAGAGGATATGAATAGACATTTTTCCGAAGAGGACATACAGATGACTGGCAAATACCTGAATAGATGCTCAACGTCACTAATCATCAGGGCAATGCAAATCAAAACCACAATGAGATATCACTTCACACCTGTTAGAATGGCTATTATCAAAAAAATAAGAAATAATAAGTGTTGGCAAGGATGTAGAGAAAAGTGAATGCTTGTGCACTGTTGGTGGGAATGTAAATTGGTGTGGCCACTCTGGAAAACAATATGGAGTTTCCTCAAAAAATTGAACATAGAACTACCATATGATCCAGCAATTCCACTTCTGTGTATTTATCCAAAGAAAATGAAACTCTCAATTTGAAAAGATATTTGGATCCTCATGTTCATTGCAGCATTATTTATAATAACCCAAACATAGAAACAACCTAAATGCTCACTGACGAATGAATGAATAAAGAATATGTAGTATATATATGTAGAGTGGAATATCGTTCAGCCATAAAAAAGAATGAAATCTTGCCATTTGCCACGACGTGGATGGTCCTTGAGGGCAGTATGCTAAGTGAAATAAATCAGGCAGAAAATGATAAATACCAATATAAAAAATCTAAATACCAATCTAAAAAAACCCACACAAAACAAAACAAAAACACTGAGCTCATGGATATAGAGAACAAATTGGTGGTTGCCTGAGGCAGGGTTAGAGGGTGGGTGAAATGGATGAAGGGGTCAAAAGGTCCAAGTTTCCAGGTTATAAAGTGAGTAAGTCATGCAAATGTAATGCACAGCATGTTGATTATAGTTAATGATACTGTATTGTGTATTTGAAAGCATTTGGGAGAGTGGATCTTGAAAGTTCTTGTCAAAAGGAAAAAAAATTTGTAACTACATATGGTGACAAATACTAACTGAATTTATTGTAGTGATCATTTTATATGGAGTAAAGAAATGTTAAAATCAATTTACAAATGGACGAAAAGCTGGCTTATTTTAGTGGGGGTAGGGTAGGGAAGTGGAGTGGAATAGAGTTTATTGAAGAATAGAATAGAATATATATATATATAATAGAATGTATTTGCATGTTTATAGACAAGTTATTTGCATTGCTAGCAATTATCCATAATTTACAGAGTTGTAAAATAATTCAAATACAAGGAAAAGCACAAATTCCATAGAATCAGATAAGCTGGAATGGTGTGCTGTAAATGATGCATAGTTTTCCACTGGAGACAGTAGTCTTTTTTTGCTTATTCCAAAGTCTTAAATTCTCCTTACACAGGTATGATGTCCTATAAGAATGTTTCCAAGGTGTTAGTCACATGTGAGAATTAAAAGGAGGACAGAAAGAGATTTTAAAAAGTAAGCCTAAACACACGTACATGAAAAAGATATTGGAAGAGGTAATTTTTTGATCTGGGAATAGGATCTGCAAGAGCTGAAGAGCATTTGCTCAAACTGGTAAGTGAAGGAAGTCCTAAATAAAATGTCATTGATTCAGGCAGTTCCTACACTGACCACTAGGTGTTGCTAACCAGGCGTGATGACCTGTGGCCGGAGAGGCAGGAGAGGCGGCATCCAATCCATCCATGGTACATTCAGCTGATCAACAAATTTGGGGCGCTCTTGGTGGCAAGACATTTTTACCTAGTCCAGCACATGGTAACCACTAAACACATATTTCTTGAAATGAATTATTCAGAATGCAGAGGGTGCTTTTACTCTGTGGGCATCCAAATAATATGACATTTCCTGTGTGAGGGTTCTTCGTCGTATTAGGACAAAGAGAAAACGTTATAAATTAGAAGTCACTTGATGAATTAAACAAAAGAAGATCAATTTAGTCACGAAATCAGACTTGGTAAATCCAAGAACTATTTCCATTGCCTATACAAACAACCGTAGCAAAAATACTTGCTTAAATGCAGACATTGCAAATCATCCCTTTATTGTTTCTGTTTCGCCCAAGTGCCATCAGATGTGGATTCTTCCACTCCTACCCCCCCCCAGGTTTTGAATAATTTTGGTGCAATGACAAAGTGATGGCAGGCCATCTATAATTCTCCGTAATTTGCATTAGCTAAAAGTGAGAAGCAGAGGGGTGGCAGAGAGCGAATCAGGAGGCTCTTAGAAAACCCCAAGAGCAGAGCTTCTTCCCGCTCCGACTTTCCCGCTTCCTCAGATGCCTTCTGTGGACATCAGTTGGTATTGCCTGCCTAGGGACCTTTCACACTTCTACTGTGACTAGCGCCTCGATTTTTCTTCGGGGGATGAGCCCCCGCACATTGGGCGCTGTCCCGATGGGCCGTCAGTTCGCTGCCTCTCCATTCAGGACAGGTAAGCTCTCAGCCAAGGGAGGCCAATCCAAGGCTCCGTCCCTGGGAACTTGTACAAGCCTGAAACCCATTGGGATTCTTTCAGCTTGGTGTCTCAAAAAGACCATTCATTAGTTCTCGTTTCCTGGAACCCCACAGTTGCCCTGGTTTCTGTTTTTCCAAAGACCTAGTTTTCATTTTTTCTTCAAGTCTGTGAGCCACCCCATATCCTTCCAGTAAATTAGCTAGAGTTGGTTTCCGTAGACTGCAGCCAAAGAATGGTGACTGGTGGAATGAAGAAAGGGAGCTAGTAAAAGAATCTAGTCCTGTGATAACTTCTGTAACCTCTGCTGAACTTGTCATTGAAAAAGATCAGCCCTAAGGTAACTCCCCGAAAACGGGGAATATGACATTTACGAACACTTACTTTGTTCCAGACAGTTTTAAAAACACTTACACACATATTTTTTTTTTTTTAAAGATTTTATTTATTTGACAGAGACATAACGAGAGAGGGAACATGAGCAGGGAGAGTGGGAGGGGGAGAAGCAGGCTTCCCGCCGAGTGGGGAGCCTGATGCGGGGCTCGATCCCAGGACCCTGGGATCATGACCTGAGCCGAAGGCAGACGCTTAACGACTGAGCCACCCAGGCGCCCCAACACTTACACATATTATCTTATGTAATCTTCAGAATGACTCAGTTGAATAGATGTTACTATCCCCATTTTGCAGATGAGAAAACTGAGGCATAGAGTGATTAGATAACCTGCCCATTTTCACATGGTCATATTAACATTCTCAATGTTTCTTCTATAGAACACCAGTTTTTGAGAATTATATTAATTTCCTGGGGCTGCTCTAACAAAGTACCACAAATGGAGCTTAAAACAGATTTTTGTCTCACAGTTCTGAAGAGTAGAAGTCTGAAATCAAGGTGTTGGTAGGACCACGCTCTCTGTGACTACTCCAAGGGGAGAATCCTTGCTTGCCTCTTCCAGCTTCTGGTGTTTGACAGCAGTCTTTGGCATTCCCTGGATTATAGACCCGTCGCTCCAATCTCTGCCTCTGCTGTCACATGGCTGTCTTCCCTCTTCTTATAAGAGCACTAGTCATATTGGATCAAGGGTCCATCTACTCCAGTATTACTTCATCTTAACTAATTACATCTATTTACAAATAAGGTCACATTCTAAGGTACTGGGGTTAGGACTTCTTTTGGGGGGAACACAATTCAACCCCGAATGGTAATAGCTATTGTTGAGAAAGGAATTCTGTAGCCAAGTAAGTTTGGGAAACAGAGGATTGAACACCATTCCAGTAGGATTCTTTGCTCTAGTACTTTGGGAGGGTCTTTAATTTGTGCATCTGTAGGGGAGTCACAAAGCTGGGACTATTATGGAGAATTTCTCAAACATATTTGCTCATGGACTTCTTTTTATACGTCTACTGTGGGCTCCCGTTCTGTGTGACACCCAGGTCTCAGGCCAGATGTGAGGCAGCAGACCCGGTGAGGTCCCTCCCTACTGTTCTGGATCCACCTCTTGACCTCCTGTGTGACCTTGAGGTAACTGCTTTCTTCTCTGAGCCTGAGTTTCCTTTTAGCTAAGAAAAAGACAATAATATCATTTCCCCATGGGTTTCCTGTAAGAACTAAACAAAATGAGGTTTTCTTGCTCATTTTCCTCTTCCTTTCACGGTGTTTCTCTCTGCGCACCCCCCCCCCCCCCCCCCCCACTTAGGAGAATGTTTTTGTTTATGGTAATAAAAATTTACCTGGGGTAAATATTCAACCCAACTGCCCTCTTAGTAAGTCTCCCATGTTAGCAAAGAATGGGTTGTTTCTCTCGGCAGTTCCTCATTCTGGTCTTCCACCCCAGTGAGGGGAAGAGGATGTCATCATGCGATCGCCAGCAGATGGGAAATTGTGAAAGGGACCTCGCTCTAGAAAAGCAGCCCACAACTGCCTCAGCTGTCAGAGGAGGCTGAGCTTCTAACAGGACTTGTCTGACAGTGGATTCGGCTGTCTGTTTGTCCATCCGACATGGAGCCAAAACGGATCAGGGAGGGCTACCTTGTGAAGAGGGTAAGCAGAAGTACCACCTACAAGGGTATCACTGAAGATAGGGTGGGGGAGGATTGGTGCCTGGCTTTGGACTCTCTACCTACTCACTTTAGGAATGGTTTATGCTGAACCTATTGGGCTGACCCAGGAGAGCATGACGGCCTGTAGAGTGTTGGGAGGTAAACCAGCTCAAGTTCCACTGCGTTCTGTTTCTTAAAGGTGAACTAATCCAGCTCAGGCATCAGCACAGCTTGATCTTGTGGGACTGAGAATTCTAGACTGCAGGGTCTGGAAGGTGGGGGCCTCAGCAAAATCTAAAGCATGATTTAGAGCGTTTTTGTCACGAGCCGTGTGTGTATAGTATTCTGGAAGACTCACACTCTTGTGCTATAGAGGTTACTCAAAGAGATTATTCCATTGTTACTTAAATTCCCCTCTTCTTATTTATTTATTTAGGAGAGGAAAAAGAAAAGGATTAAAGAGAAGCTGATAAAATGACACAGTAACTGTACCTTATTGCTTGGACCATCTTTTTAAAATTGGTGCATAAAAAACCTTTTCTTTTTCTTAAATTGGGCTCAAATCTCTTCATTGACCATTCTGAGTGAATTTGTATAATGTACTGCTAAGGTAGTAGGAAGTAATTTTGAAGTTTAGGGAATAGGGACACAAGTTTATTAAGAAATGCTTGGTCTCACTGGTATGGCTTCAGAAAATTGAATTTTCTTAGCACTGCTTATTTTTCTCCGATTGCTGGGTGTATGCCATATCATCATGTGAATTCACACCGGGCTGGTTGGCATCCTGTGGGCAACACCTCTGAGAAAGATGTTCTCACAATGACCCAAGTGAGCTCAGCATGTCAGAAGTGAACTGAAGTCAGTACATTCTTTCAGACTCTTCAACTACATGAGCACCTAATGTGACCATTTTAGGTCATTCGTTGGTTTAACATTTAGCCTAAAATGTTCTACTTATGAGGGGGTTAAGCAGCACACACTGCTGCCTGATTCTGTTTTGATTTAAAGCTGGAAGGGGGGAGTCTGCGTGGCTCAGTTGTTGGGCATCTGCCTTTGGCTCGGGTCGTGGTCCCAGGGTCCTGGGATCGAGCCCCATGTCAGGCTCCCTGCTCAGCGGGGAGCCTGCTTCTCCCTCTCCTTCTGCCTCTCCCCCAGCTTGTGCTCTATCTCTCTCTCTCACACACACACACTCTCTCTCTCAAATAAATAAATAAATGGATCTTAAAAAAAAAAAATAAAGCTGGAGGGGGCTTTAGATCACTTTGCCTCATTCCTCCATTTCCAGAAGAGGAAACTGAGACCAAGAAGCTGGGTGACTGCCCAAGGTCACATGGCTGTGACGGTTGATACCAGAAACCCACTCGCTGGCTTTGGTTTCTGCCTCATGGTGCTGAACTCTATCCAGTACACCAAGATTTTATTAGAGTCAGTGTAATGTGGTTTATGTTTTGTAATGTATTTGTGGCAGCGAGAGTTATAAGTGGGTGCTGGAGAATAAAGGAGCCCACAGCTGATGTGCTCTTTAGCTAGCATAGCATCTCTAGCTATTTTGAAACATTCTTTGGAAAAGACACACATATACACACAGAGAGGTGTATGTGGATTCTTTGCAATAGATACCAATACTCTCTTTGAATGTTGAGTACTAATTAATGTTGGCCTTTCTTTCCTGATTGCTTGGGCTAGTATCTGGAGAAGAGCAAGTGAATGGAAACATTTTGCAATGAAAATTGCTGTTATTAAGTTTGTATGTTCACATTTTAAACTCCATAAATTATAAAAAATATAGAAGACTAAATCTCTAATAAGTGAGGCTGCCCCCCTAGAAAATGGGGATGAAAGAGTTAGGTTTGTCAAGCTTACAGATTTATATTAATAGTTTTTAATCAGTGAGAGTAATTCTCTCAGATTATGGCCTATAAAAACCAATTTAGAAAATGTACCTAGAAAAAAAGCACAGTGAAATTTCATATTGCTATTTCCACAATTTCCATCTTCTTAATTTTCATGTCTATAATTTATATCTTCCATAATTTTTGCATTTTTCTCTGGGACCTTTTGAACAGTCTTTGTCGTAATGTGTTAAGAGCCTCTAATTTATCATTTTGAAGGCATGCTTGATTCAGAAATATTCCCTTCGTTGGCTACAGAACTATACCTGGGGGGCACCTGGGTGGCTCAGTCATTAAGCGTCTGCCTTCGGCTCAGGTCATGATCCCGGGGTCCTGGGATCGAGCCCCGCATCGGGCTCCCTGCTCAGCGGGAAGCCTGCTTCTCCCTCTCCCACTCCCCCTGCTTGTGTTCCCTCTCTCGCTGTCTCTCTCTCTGTCAAATAAATAAATAAATAAATAAATCTTTAAAAAAAAAGTGCTTAAAAAAAACAACTACACCTGAAGCCAGAATCTCCCAGTAATGTTTTTAGACGTTAGATTTCTTTCAGTTACCTCATACATATGGATTAAAAACTGTATATGTCAGGAGCCTAGCACATAGTAGGTGCTATATATGTGATCATGATTATAGCAGTACTGATGTACACTTCTGTAGATAAGGTCCTTTTCTAGATGCTAACAGGGATATGTACTGGTGCCTGGGTTGGTTGTCGAGTTAATAGTGAAGAGAGGACCATGGAAATCTTTCTCTGGCAAGGCTGTTAGATGCCTTGACTATGGTTATTGGTGTTAGAACATGACCAGCAGTAATATATGAATCTCTCTTCATTTACTTTTTTCTCGTGGGCAGTTTAAGATACCTGGGTAGTGATAAAGATATCTTTTTCCCTATGTCTTGTTTTGTGAGATAACTTTACTGGAGATAAGATGTTTTGGGTGGCAAAATACAATATTAGAAATGCTGGTGCAAGGATTTTGTCAAGTCAGAAATCTTGGGGTCAACAGTCAATGGCATTGACTATGAAATGTTCTTGCTTTTCTTCTGTGCAAGATAACTACACACATTGTACAATTCCGGTTTCCTCCTTTACCTCCTGCCTAAGGTCTTTATTTTTTATTTTTTTATTTTATTTTTTTTAAAGATTTTATTTATTTGACAGAGAGAGACACAGCCAGAGAGAGAACACCAGCAGGGGGAGTGGCAGAGGGAGAAGCAGGCTTCCTGCCAAACAGGGAACCCGATGCGGGGCTCGATCCCAGGACCCTGGGATCATGACCTGAGCCAAAGGCAGACGCTTAACGACTGAGCCACCCAGGCGCCCTGCCTAAGGTCTTTAAATAGAAATTATGGTTAGAGAGGAGGGAAAATACATGATTCTGTCACCCCACTTTGCAATTTTTTTATTCTAAGTAAGACCTAGATTTCCTTGTCCCAGAGTCTTGACATTTTTGACTTCTAGGGAAAAAAAAAAAAAAAAAAAAGCACTTCCAGCTGACCATACAGCAGCTAACACTGTACAATCATGATCTCATTCAATTCTAATCACCCTCTGTGATATCACCCTTATCCCCATCTTACAGATGAGAAAACTGAGGCTCAGAGAGACTGTGTGACTTGCCCACAGTCAAACCGCTGGTAAGAGGATGCCCTAGGATTCAAATCCATGCTTGCCTAACAGCAAAGCCCACCATCTCATTGATCCCATTTAGCATTCTAAAAGGCAGGCTTACCCAAGCCAGCAAAAGGGAGGTTAGACAAATTTATCAGAGCTAGAGTGGGGCCTGGACAAATTGCACTGTTTGCAAGATGGGGTTTAGTAACCTCAACCTCCCTTTCTCTCTGATTCAGGGTTAATTCCAACCAGTAAACCTAGATATCTTTTGGATGTCCTTGAAACCATATTACTGATCTGGATATGTTTATAATCAATCATAGCTTTAAAAACGATAGAGAGAGAGAGAGAGAGAGAGGAGCAGTTTCTATGCAACGAATAAGCTAGACTCCACCAAGTCATGTCCCATACCAACCTCACTTCTAGAGGTTATGGAGCAAATTGTTGTTGACAGATTGACAACCAACCAGCAGGCACTTCACGCAGCCGGGCAGATCCCAAGAGTGGCTTCGGTCTTGGGGTGGTCTGTGAGGCTGGGCGAAAGCGCAGGAACTGGGGTGGTGGGAAAGAGAAGGACGGGGGTGCTTGGGCAGGAAAGAGAAGGGCTGCAGAGAGCTGAGGTGGAAAGAAGAAAGCTTCGGGTGCGAGAGAGTAGGAGAGTCAGGAGTCCCAGCCCAGGAATTCTTTTGTACAGCGACCTTGTCTTCAGGACATACTACCATGAAATAATTCCCAGCAATTTGCCTTTGTTGATTCATCACCATCGTAATAGCTAACACAGGTGGTCCTTACCCTGCAGCAAAGACAGATGGAAGCGTTGAATGCATTAAGGCATTTGATATTTATAACAACTCTACAAAGTGGGTGCCACTATGATCCTTACTTTTCAGAAGAGGAAACTGAGGTACGAGAGAGGCAAACAGTCTTGCCCAAGGTCACACAGCTATTAAGTGGCAGGGCTGTTCTGCAACTCAGCAGTGTGGCCTCAGTGTCATGAAGAGCCATGCCTAACTGCGTTACTTGTGGCCCCCACGGGCTCATTTTGCAGGGATTTTCTTCTCCAGAGCACTGCTGCTGTGGAGCCCAGGACAACTTTCACCCCATGGCCTACAGACTGAAATCTTCTCTGTCTATGTGGTTACCATTTTTTGAGCACCCTATAAGCTAGCCTCCGGGCTAAGCCCTTTAGTATATTATCTCATTTAATCTCCCTTAAGTATATGATCTCATTTAATCTTTGCAACAGTGGAGGTAGGTGCTTTATTACTTTCATTTTACAGGTGAGGAGACAAACTTTTGGAAAAATTAAATAACTTGTCTAAGGCCACACAGCCTGGAAGAGGCAAAGTTGAGATTTGAAAGTGAAGCCCCGAGACTCCAGAAATCATTGTGTTGAGCACTTGGTACCATTTCTCTATTGCTCACCTCATATGTTTTTATTGAGAAATTGTCCAATTTAGACTTTTTACTTATGTAGAAAATACACTCCTGAACAG